GATATTCAGACAATACAAGTAAAGTCTGCAAGGAGTACAGTAAAATGCCTAAATGTTGTAGTGTTGCGGGTTTTACTGCAAAGAAAGGCAAAGTGCCTAACGATATTAAGTTATACAAATTTCCACAAGAATTAGTCGACGCAAAAGAATGAATGCATGTAATTAACCGCGCACAGAGAAGTGGGGATGGAAGTGTGGACAGGGACGGATGTTGGGCCCCATAACTCGAAAGGATTGCGCATTGCGAATAGCGATATCACATAGATTCTACAGTGTATTATATGGGACGCGTAGGGGAGAGTCATGGAATCGAGACGCTTGCGCTTGGTCGCAGTGCGCGATGCTTTAGGGTTACGGGGCCATGGGCTCCGTATCTCGAACGGTTCGCTATGTTGTGCACTTGCGTTAGTGTCTTTATTCCATAGCCGATTCTATTTCGAGATACACCAGCGCACGTGCAGCAGCATTTAAGCTACAGCTGGCATATAGCTCTTCCTTTACTCTTCTTTCAATATAGACATTTAAGCCTACACTGCTAAATCACATAGTATGCAGTCCAACGGCGTATCTAAAGTACCGGTAGTTACACTTAATTTACACATGCTTGTAAAACCGATACAGTATATCTTGAGCAAGGTAAAGAAGTATACTTCTAGGGCGTATTCCCAGAGCTTTTAGATCGATCTATCCCCGCGGGGAATCTCACTAGATTACTATCAGATAATCCGGCTTATGTGTCCGTCCCGCCTACAACAAGCAATAAGGGGGTAATTAACTTTCGTGCCCTCTCGGCTGACAGCTATCTAGCGTGAACCCCGAGGGAGTTAGGTCGATCTAAATTAGATCGATCTATTCTCTGGTAATGGGGGCGTAGTTACGAACAATGGGTTTAAAAAACGTTTATCAGCCGTGCACGCTCAAATATCACCTCATGTTTTTGTTAAAGGTCAGCGCCCATGTTATAATCGTAATAAAGAGCAACTTTGCGCAATCTCATCATTTGCAGGTGAAGTCGAGATGCTATACACATGCAGGGGTTTGCCGAAAGTCATCAAACGTTGATAACTGAAAAGTTTGCAGATAACAGAGTAAAGTGGAAATCACTTGCTGCAATGGCAATGGTAGCTTTTATTAAGTGATAAAAGTAATCGTATTTGTAGATAAGGAGCTTGAGTTCCAGATGACTATGTGACACGAAACATATTTTTTATGACTCATAACGTCAACAACATCTTCCGTCAACATTTGAGAGACGCCATCTGTTACTCTATTAGAGGGAAGTCTTAACAGAGCTTCATGAATGTCATTTTGGATACTTAAAATGTGGACAAACCTGACAAAACATCATTGTGCAAAAACTCACTGAGCATGAAACCCAATGACGTATTTTTATTTGCTGAGTGTAGAAGACTTCCTGGATGAACTTTTTTGAAGAAATGCCAGAAAAAGACCGCCAAAACATTTATGCTTTAGAGGTACCGTTTGCTTCATATGTACTAATTTGTCACTTTTTCCTAGTTGTCTCAACCAATAATTAGATTGAAAAGTAGATGTTTCCTCCTCGTTCCCTTCTCTCTCTCTCCTTTATATATGTCTCTTCACCCTCTCCTTCTATCCTCTCTGTCTCTCCTATTCATCATCTCCTCACTCCCCCTCCCCCTCTCTCTCTTGATTTAATACCCGGTAGTAGTACAGCATGGGTCTTATTCCTAACTACTAAAGGATACTCACAAAGTATCCTTCTCTTCTCTGTGAACATATATATATTTAAATTGGCGATTTTTTAAATTTTTTAATGTTCCTAAAATCTGTTTCGCTATATCAAGTGCTAAGAGTGGTATCTTTTTTCTAATCTTTTGTATGTCTATTTTGAAGATACAAAAGAGAAAACTAATTAGACTCAAAGTAGACAAGTAGCTAGCTGACACCTACATGAATTACAATTTATTACTGACATCACATGCTCCCTGTTAGGACAGCCTTGGCTTAGGTCCAGGCCCCGTATGCACAAAACACCTTAAGTGTATTTTTTTAAGAATTTCCCTAAGAATTTCCTTAAGTGATCACCCTTAATATAAGTGGTATGCACAGAGCATCTTAAGGTGAGAATTTCCCCAAATATATCCTTAACTTTAAGGTATCTCATTGGGTCTCTTAAGTGGAAATTTTGACCTTAGATTCAGTGACTGTACAACACAGTGGCATTCATTTGTGCTGTTTAATACGCTTAAAATCATGTTTTTGAGTTTTTTGTGTGTTTATATTAATCAAAAAAGAATCTAACATTGGATGTAATAATTTTTATGAATTTGCATCGCAAAATGTGTCTTTTGATGAGTTTTTCAACCGGCACGCGCCCCAGTCAGGCTGACAACTAAGCCACGCCTCTGTTACTAAGGGCCGTTGCCATGAGGGGGTCGGAGCATAGTTAATGAGTTATAAGCCGATTACATGTGCGGTAATAGGTCATAAGTCTTACATCAGCTTAACAGCGAAGAAGTCTAGCTAGTACACTATGGGGAAGAGAAGGGTTCGTGTTAAAAGTCCATTTCCAGAGGAAAGAAAGAAAATTTTGAAAGAGAGTAGGGCCTATGCGTGGTGGTTGGGGAAAACCGGCCCTATTTGTTCAGTCGGATGACTGATTTCTGTATACCTAATAAATGGGTGAAAGAGTTAATCGAATCGTCTAAATTAATTGACAAATGAAACAAAAATTGATAAATAAATAAAAAAAAAAAAAAACGCTAAAAAGTATACTTTTAGCCTACAATGTAGCTCTAATTTTTTGCGATATATATCGGCGAGCGTATCTGCGACACGTTACGAAACCTGAAATGATTGTTGGTCACCGTTTGCAAAAGGTAAATCTAATGTTGACAAAATAAAATTTTACTCTCCAAGATATGATATCATGGAGCTTGAGAGACACGCGCAAAATTTTGATGTGAATGGCCAAACAAGAGAAATCCAAGCAAGGGTTGACAGCATGATCAAAACAATAAAAATAAGAACGCACGTTAGCGGCTTTGCATTTTGCGATGTTTAGAGAACAACAATTTCAAAATCACTGATCAAGCGGGAAAAAAGAGTTCAAAATGTACCCCCCTCCCCCATCTAAAATTGAAAATCACAAAAAGACCCCGAGAATAGTCAAGACTAGCAGGTAAAAAGCAAATAGGGTCTAAGTGTCATGTGTGTAAAAATAAAATATTTATTCAAAAGCCTTCTCTCAGCCACTTTTACCGCTGAATCTTGTGCAGCTGAGCGTCTTCCCTTTATCTTAGCTGGCATTTTTAGAGAGACCGCTCTGAAATAATCACGATTTTTCCGTTGAGCTGACGAGTACCAAGTGCTGTGCAAAATAATCCTGCAGCGTTACCGTCAAAAAACTCGTATTAACACAAGTGACGGCCACTTGCTCTCGACAGACAGTTTTATCTGATCACTTTGCCGATAACAGAAAAGGTATTACTCAGGTAAAATTACTCGATTGCCGAGGGAGACCCGTTGAAACATTCAAATGCAACTTCACACCTCTTAATTGCGGTGAAACGTAATCGTCTTTGTTAGCGCTTTCTTCTACATATCCTTGACACCCTGTTGGGCATCACTAGGCTAGTTCCCTCTCCAGAGCTGTCAATCAAAATGGCGGCACGCTTACAAGCCTAACGAGTGGTCGGAAAATGTAACAAAAGCACGATTATTTGCCCTTTCAAAGTACCCAAACAAAATATTTTTAGATGACAATGAGCAATGGTCCCACCTGATTGTATAACCGATAACAGGTAAATTTGCCAGCTAAGCATTTGATTAATAAGCCCTGATAACCAACCCGTGAACGTTTTTGGCTGTTTTAACAGCTTTCAATATTGACAACATAAGTGAATCGCTGCCAAGTATATCTCACTATCTGAGCAACCGATCGTTACAAAAGTTGCACCTATTGTTGTTAGGAATGTGGACTACAGCATAATATCAGGGGTTTAAGAGGAAATTGTTTGTTTGAAAGTTATCGCCTTTGAAGTGAATAACCCATTGAAATATGGGCTGATTTAACGTCAAAGATGATAAAATCAAAAGTAAATAGTTTAAGACAATTCCCTGGCACCCCGCTGTAGTGCTTTCACCCAGCTTTATGAGGCCTTTTGAATCACTCGAATAGCTGTCTTTGTTATAGAGAAAATCCCAATACCGAAAACGGCATTTTTCCCCTCAAATTGGCGCCAGAGCGTCATCCGTTGGACACTGTACTTAATCCCCNTAGTTAAAGACAATTCCCTGGTACCACGCTGTAGTGCTTTCACCCAGCTTTATGAGGCCTTTTGAATCACTTGAATAGCTGTCTTGGTTATAGAGAAAATCCCAATACCGAAAACGGCATTTTTCCCCTCAAATTGGCGCCAGAGCGTCATCCGTTGGACACTGTACTTAATCCCCGTCTTTATTTGGCCTTTTGGGAAGTTTGTTTTAATTTTTTATTAAAACTTACAAGCCCAGGGCTTTGTTTCTATGACTTTGGTCCTTTTACTATAAGTCCCCTTAAGAAATGGATTTTGAAAGGGAGACCCTCACACACATTCCATAAGTATAGTAACATCAATTGCACACTTTCTCCTAATTATACTCCTGTGTACTTAAAGCTCCAAGACTTCTTTTAATAGCTTCTAGAAATGCATTGTTGTACATTAACAGAAAAGGTAACATGCCAATCAGTGTCTGCTCTACAGTGTAACATTTACAGGTGGATTTCGATTTTCCCCAGACTACTAGTACATGTACTAGTATAGAAATATATATTTTTGGCATCTGTTTAAGACCTAAAATAAATCAACATCTATAGTATATTATACATCTTATCTTTATAAGATTATTATTAATATAATAAATGTAAATTAAATGTTATTATTTTAAAGAAAGGTTGACTTTGTATTTTTCATGTCTCAACTGCTGCTGACAATTCAACCTCAGTCTATAAAAAATGCATTGTTTGTTTCAGTACACTATGAAGACTGCCACACAGTATGGTCTGGTGGGCTGGGTGATGAACACTCCACAAAACACTGTGAAGGGCCAGGTTCAGGGCAAAGAGAGCAAAGTGAAAGAAATGTAGGTATATAATCCTATAGTTATTTGTGTATAAAACTAACATGCTTGTACATGCACTCTGTGTGTCACCTACAAGTATCTTGCACCCCCATTGTTATGTCTTACTGACTCGCACACTCGTGTCTCCAACCCACCCTCTTCTGCAGATAATCCTGTATATATCTCTGTACAAAACTATCTGATATCATATGCCTTCAAATCAAACCCTTTTCACTATCTAGAGGTCTGAGATACAGCTGTGGTGTATATCATTCTAACAGATAGTGGCCAGTTTATTGTGAAGACTAACAACCACACATGGTGTGGTCTGAATATTGATGTGTGATTTTGTTGCACAAAATGTTTGAGATGGCATCCTTTTTTGTGCAGATTGCAAATTGAGAACTACCTCCTTCCCACCATTTTCAATTCCAAATGGCAAAGCCAGCCCCTGTTTTCACACATAGACAAGAAAAAACTAATTGCGATGCCCCCCAATAGCATGTTTCTTATATACAGGGGTTTACAATATTACTTGTCCAATTATTAGTGACAAGTGAATGATATCGCCAGGCAAGCAAAAAATGCCAACATTATTTTCAACATAGTTGCCAAACTTTTTCTTCGCCTGACTGACATTAAAAAAAGAGTAAAGATCTTTACATGTATCGGGATGTTGTGCCAATTAAATTTGAATAAGTTATCTTTCCTGGCATATAAAACTATTTACAGTCATGTATGTTTGGGAAAACATTTCACTGATTGGGGAAAAGTGCTGTGAAAACTTTATTGAGAACTTCCTAGTATATACAGAACTGCAGTATGTTGCAAATAACAGCATTTTGATTCATTTAAAATATAATTTTACAGTTTTAAGTGGGAGATCAAAAATGATGCAGCGACATTTTAGGCCTTCAACCCCAAACATATAGGAGTCAATGTCATTGTCTTTGTAATATGATTGAACCTTTCGTATATTTTTCACATTTCACATATGATAGATGATATGAATGTTTGGCCTACTGACTTTTTGATAAGATTTCCCTCATTTTAACTGTATTTTATGAATAAATCTTCTTACGGGTTTCATTGTTTGTATAGAAGTGTTTATCTTGTTTGTCCACAGGAAAGAATGGCTTCAGAAGACAGGCAGCCCAAAGTCAAAAATTGAAAGAAGTGAATTTAAAAATGAAAGGACAATAGAAAAAACTGAGTTCTCTTCATTTAATGTAAGAAAATGACAGCAGTTACCAAACCATACAACAGACATCAATCTTGATAATTTATTTGAAATACTGTGCTGTCTGGAGACTCAGCAAAAGTACGGCTGTCTTAACCTTTTCCTGTGTGACAGTCTAAAAAATGTGATATGGCTCTCAAGGGCAATGAAAATAATGTTACATTCCGTATTTGTACTTAGATTGTTTTAATTTGTGGCTTTACCTTTTTAACTCAACTTGTTGATTGTTCATCGAGTTTCAAAATGTCACCACCTGCTTGCCAGTGCTTGCTGTTAAAGTCTACATACTTAGAAGGGCTGACAAGAGCTAAATTGTTCCATTAACATATATTTTGTACTTTCACTTTATTATATATGTGAATGTAAGGTTCTTTCTGAATGGAAAGCAACTGACATAAATTATTACTGCATCATGGCATGGCAAGATTGCTAT